TATGGTCTCTTTGGGGTATATTCCCAGTAGTGGAATTGCTGGGTCAAATGGTATCTCTATTTGCAACTTTTTAGAAAGCACCATACCGCCTTCCACAGTGGTTGCACCATTTGACACTCCCACCAACAGTGAATAAGTGTTTCAGTTTCTCCACAACCTCGCCAGCATTTGTGGCTTGCTGTTCTGTTAAATTTTCCTATTCTGACTGGGGTGAGATGATATCTCATAGTTGTTTCAATTTGTATCTCTCTTAGGGCTAGGGATTTTGAGCATTTCTTCATGTGCTTGTAAGCCATCTAAATGTCTTCTTCGGTGAAGTGTCTGTTCATATCCTGTGCCCATTTTTCTATTGGATTATTTACCTTTATCTTGTTGTGGTGCAGTATTTTATAAATTCTGGATTTAAGTCCCTTATCTGATATGTCATTACCAAATACTTTTTCCCAGTAGGTGGCTTCCCTTTCTACCCTGTTGGAGAAGTTTTTTGATATGCATAGGGATTTCATTCTTAGAAGATCCCATTCATCTACTTTATCTTCTCCTGGTTGTAGGTTGAATTATTTTTTTGATGTATCATTGGACCCTGGAGGACATTATGCTGAGTGAAATATCTCAGTTACAAAAGGACATATACTGCATAATGCCACTGTTGTAAAACAGACTGACATCAGGGTTAGGGGATAAATAATGTTCACTGCATGGAATCAGATGAGGGAAAGAACTGCTTAAAAAGAATATATAATTAAGTATTATTTGTATGATAACAGTCCAGAATAAGAGCTGCATAGTAAAGTGGACTTGGATGGGAGTGGAAAATTGAACAACAATGAAAAAAATTTTTTTTTCCAAAGAGAAAAGATAACTGGGGTGGGGGGAAGACCAAGAAGGAAAATGTGCTATAATGAATGAATGGAAATCCAAGTTCTCTATAAACTTTCATTAAAATCTCAATCAAAAAAAAGGGGAAATTGTATAATTATGAACATTTTTTTAAAAGACCTAGAAAACTCTTCCACTATTATTAATTTTAGAAAATAATTTAATTGAACTGTGATGAAGGTAATTTAAAGGGTAATTTTTATTTTAAAATAACTTCTGACATTTACTAGGCACTTACGATGTGCCAGGCACTACTCTAAGCAGATCACATTTATTAACCCATGTAAAAATCTTCACAACTGGACCAAGTTGTAAAAAATTTCATTTTTCAACCAATACCCATGGTAAAAGCAGTCAAGAAATTAAAAA